CCGTGCAGTTCTATGTTAAGTCCCTAGAGACATCAATGATAGGCCCAAAGAACAGATACAAAGAGAAGCCATCCAGGCCAGGCACTGGTGGCTCCCGCCTGTCATCCTAGCTACTCAGGAGGCTGAGATCTGAGGATCGCGGTTCAAAGCCAGCCTGGGCAGGAAAGTCTGTGAGACTCTGATCTCCAATCAACCACCAGAAAACCGGAAGTGGCGCTGTGGTTCAAGTGGTAGAGCACCAGCCTTGAACTGAAGAGCTGAGGGACAGCGCCCAGGCCCTGAGTTCAAGCCCCACGACCGACAAAAAAGAAAAAAAGCAAAAGAAAAAAAGGCCATTCCATGACTTCACTGACCTATAGTTTACGCAGACAGTTTCTGCCCACAAATAGAAATCCCTGCAACTTTACAGATCACTGCTGATCTTTTCAAGCTCCCTTGGTCCTGGGTGTATGCTTTACTCTGTGTGTGTGTGTGTGTGTGTGTGTGTGTGTGTCCCCTGACGCTTGAACTCGGAGCTTGAGCCTTTTTGCTCAAGACTAGCCCTCTACCATTTGAGCCACAGCTCCACCTCCGGCTTTTTGGTGACTAATTAGAGATCAGAGTCTCGTGGGCTTTCCTGCCCAGGCTGGCCTGGAACCTCGATCCTCCGATCTCAGCCTCCCGAGGAGCTGGGGTGGCAGGCGGGAGCCACGGCGCCCGGCTTGCACACAGCTGTAGCAGACTCCGCCGTCTCGGCTCCCTGTGTTGGGAAAGGCGCAGGGCTGCCCGGAACCGCTCACCCTCCGTGAGTGAAGTCAGGCGTTCAATTAGCCTGATAGGTATTTATGCCCTGAGGACGTCACAGGTAGCCACTGGGGGACTGGGGGACTGGCGCACGGAAGCGGAACACTTCGTCTCCCCGGGAGCTCGGTTGCTCAGCCCGATGTGCCCGGGAAGCAGGTCAGCCAGACCCCCACACTGGCCGGCACCCCGATTCCTGCAGAGACCTCGGCCCCCGGGGAGGGGGGAGCGGGGATGGCGTGACCCCAAAGAACACGGCACCAGTTGCTTGCGCCCTTCCTACCCCTGACCTCCCGGGTCCCAGCCGGACACCCGCACCTGCAGAGGGGGTTCCGGGGACCCCCCCTCTCCCCTGCACATGGCATTCTGACCAGGCACCTGGGCTT